CCTCGTCAGGCCGTACTCTCCGGAGGTGCTTGCGCAGTCAGCTGATCGTTATGGCTATTCTACGTGACTGTGGATCGGTCGTGCTCTTCACGAGGAGCTCCCTACATGGCTAGGGAGCCAGCGTCTGACGCTATTCTGTGGGATGCCAGCTCATCCTCCGACCAGGCGATGTGACACGCTTCACGCCTCATCACTTGCATGATAGGCGGTGACGTCACCTGTCGCGAAGCCCCCACCGCCTAACCGCATGCGTCGAACAGAGGAGGCTGTTTCGGGCACGTCGACCACACGTACCGTCCACCGTGACACGGTGCCTTCAACGGTCCCCGCACAGGCTCTGGGACCACAAGGGTTGCCACCCCAACCGTCACGAACACCGCTTCAGGATGGGAGGGCCCATGTGCCCCATCCGACTGACAGGGTCATGCCTACCCTCAAGGGCATCAGCGCTACACTGCGATCCTCCGTGTCAGCCTCCGCCTTCGCCTCCTCCTCCTCCTCCTCCTCCTCACCCTCCTCCTCCTCCTCCTCCTCCTCTTCCTCCTCCTCCTCTTCCTCCTCCTCCTCCCCCTCCTCCTCCTCTGCCTCCGCGTCCTCCGCCTCGTCCCCCTCCGCCTCAGCCTCCGCCTTCGCCTCCTCCCCCTCTTCCGCCTCCTGCCCCTCCTCCTCCTTCGCCTTCTCCTCCTCCTCCTCCTCCTTTCCCTTCTCCTCCTCCTCCTCCTCCCTTCGCGTCCGCCTCCTCCTCCTCCTCCTCCTCCTCCTCCTCCTTCGCGTCCTCATCCTCCGCCTCCCCCTCCGCCTCTGACGAGGCGGCCGCCGCTGGGCCCGCCTGCGCAGCGGCTCCCTGCCCGCGCGGAGCAAGCACAGGCGGGACGCCGGTGCGGCTCGGGCGGGCGCGCGTCCGCGACTATGTATGTCTGTCTGTGTCTGTCTGTCTGTCTTTCTGTCTGCCTGTCTGCCTGTCTGTCTGAGTGTCTGTCTGTTTGTCTGCCTGCCTGCCTGACTGCCTGCCTGCCTGTCTGTCTGTCTGTCTTTCTGTCTGCCTGTCTGCCTGTCTGTCTGAGTGTCTGTCTGTTTGTCTGCCTGCCTGCCTGACTGCCTGCCTGCCTGTCTGACTGTCTGTCTTTCTGCGCTTGTGTGTATGAGTGGTGTACGCAGGGGCGTACGCACATATGTTCGTCTTCAGGCATACAGGTCTGGATGATTTATGTATGCGAGCATGTCTGCATGCATATGGTTACCTGATTGTGGTTTTGCGTATGCGTGCGTATGTGTGTAGATGTGCATGCATGTGTGCATGCATGTATGCTTGTACACACGTCTATCTATATGTTTGCTTGTATGCACACGTCGATGTATGCTAGTATGTAGCATGCTATGTGTCACAAGTGTGTATGCGCACATACATTCAGGCAGGTATGCGTATACATTTTACCATCGGCACATATGGGGATGCACATCGATTTGATGGACGTACAACTTACATTGCTCTCTAAGCTCGGATACCCCGTTTGGGGGAGGGGGGCCTGTCGCGGGTCCACGGTGTGCAGCCTGCGCAAAGCCGCACCGTGGGCTGACAAGGGGATGGCCCCCCTCCACAGGTCGACTGCGAGGGGGCTGCGATCTGTGGAAGCAAGCAGGAGAGAGAAACAAAACAAAAGCTCCCTAAGCTATATCCTAGTACTATGTTGCATACTGGCTCCGGCCACTGGGCCGATCGGTTGGGATCCAGTGGGGGCTGCCGTGGGCGGCGTTCCTCGGAGGAGCGCGGCGACTTCGGTCGGATTCCGGGCCCCGCAGGGGGCCCAAGCCCTCGCACTCCCCGCCTCCTCCTCCTCCTCCCTCCTCCTCCTCCTCCTCCTCCTCCTCCTCCTCCTCCTCCTCCTCCTCCTCCTCCGCTCCCCTGCCCCCCCCTTCTCCCTCCGAACAGGCCCGAAGTCGAGAATTCTGTCCCGCGTGCCCAGAGAGGGCGGCCTCGCCTTCGAAGGAAGCAAGGGGTGGCATCTCGTGTTCGGCCGAAGGCGGCGTGCGGGCGGCGGGCGCCGGCGGAGGCAACACGTGGGCGGTTTCGCCGGCGGAAGGCTGGCGGAAGCCAGCGGAAAGAAAAAAAGTCCCCCCTCAATCGACGTTTACTTTCTTGGATTCAGGGTCTCTGGAACGAGCCATTTGTTTATTATTTATTCGGGTACGTTTTTCGCGCTGTCCAGGGTCTCCAGAGGCTTCAAGAGGCTTCCGGGGGCGTCTGGAGGTCTGTGGGCCGTCCTTCGCAGGCTTCTAGAGGCTCCAGGGGGTCTGCGAACGCCTGTGGGGGCCTCTGGGGGCCTTTGGGCTCTGGGGGCCTCCTATTCTTCCTTCCTTCCTTACTTCCTTCTCCCCCTCCTCACGTCATCAGCTGCAGAGCAGCGCAACTTCCTATCTCTCTCAGGGCCGACCTAGGGGTAGGAGCATGCGATTGGATATTCGAGCGTTAGCCACTCGGAGGTCTCGTGCGTCTTGATGCTAGATCTCAGCTCGACGCTAGATCCTTCCTAGTCGAAGCCGACTAAGACCGCTGTCGGCGCTCGCGGGCCGCTCCCTGGAGCTCAGCACGGTGCATGCGAGCGCAGCATGCCAGGGCCGCCGAGTCCCAGCCAGCAGCCCGAGCTTCTCATCCTCTGGTCTTAGAGCCGCCTGGGGCCTGAGGTGGCCCATTCTCAGGAGGGGGAAAAGCACACAGACACAATTAATCGTCGAGTCCCAGGAAAATATGGGAAAATATGGGAAGTGGGGGGGAAGACAAAAACCCAGAAAATATGGGGAATCTTTTTTTTTACTTGTGTGTATTTATTTGTGTGTCCCAGGGCCCCTTCACATTCCTGGTTCTGGCGAGCTGGAAGTGGGGGCCGGGGTCGAGTTTCTGGGCTCGAGCCGGCTTTGCCTTCTTGGTCCCTGGGGGCCACCCTCGGGCCCGGGGACCCTCGAACATCGGCCCTGGGTGAAGCCCTGCCCCGCGCGGGCCCCAGGGGAGGGGTCCGGGGAACGCTTCTGCGCGCTTTCTGGACAGGTCTCCCCGGGGCGCAGCCAGCTCAGACCCTGTGTGATGAACGAACAACACACACCCACACCCATAGGGAGGTCGTTGGGAGGAGGACTGGCTATGGGTATGGGTGCGGGTTGTCGGACCCTGGGGAACGCTCCCGTTCGAGCGGGGACCCCCATCCGACAACACGCACCCATAGCCCTCTCCGATCCCCCCATGGGTATGGGTGCGTGTTGTTGGTTCGTCACTGTGGCCGCCGCCAGGGATGGTCGGGCAGCACGCCCTCCCGCCCCAGGCCCTCTCCTCGCAGGAGAGCGGGCGGGCAGGGCGCCGCAGGGCACCGTCGCGGGCTCGCGCTGCTGAGGGGCCCATGGAGCCCGCGGGCCTGCCTCCGGGGCCCAGGGCCGCGGGGAGGCTGCGAGGGCGAGGGCTGTTCTCACCAGCCTCGAACGTACAGTCGGGGCCCTGAAGAAGGAACCCTTTTGGTTGGGGAGGGGCTCCGCGTTCCTTAAGTATTTCGCAGCTTGCCTCAGGTTTTCCTCATGTTTTCGATAGGAAATCGAAGTTTAACTTATGGAACAAAAAGGGGCCTCGTTCCTTATTTACGGTTCCTTAGGTCAACGCCCCGACTGTATCCCTATCCCTAAGATTGACACGCCAAAAGGCGATGACAATCTTAGGGGTTCGCCCTCAAAAAATAAGGGAATCCCTAAGATTGCCATCGTGGTGAGGAGGTGCCCAGCATAGGGATAGGGATATGTTCCAGGCTGATCATGTTCGTCGACTAGACGCAAGAGTGACCCTTCGCCGGAGTGACCTCTGGTGCGGGCGCGGATGGGTCCCCAGATGGCTGAGAACGCAGCAGGAGCAGCGGCTTGCGCGCCCAGGTGTGGTCCCCCCGCGGTCCCCCAAAAGCCGCGCACCAAAGGTCACTCCTACCCAGGGTCACTCCTGCGTGTAGCCGAGTTCGGCCCTGCCCCGGACACGGTTCCAGACTTGCGTTCAGCACGCCGTGCCAGAGAGCAATCAAGCAAGCAGTCCGGTCGAGTCAACTCGGTCCAGAGGCGGGCGCGGCTGGGCGACATTTCAGGCATCAGCGGTGGCGCCCGAGGGAGAGGCGCACGTGGGCGTCCTCGCGTTCAGAAAAGTCATTGTCTGAATGTGCTTCATACCTGTCGGCTTTGGAGCGGGTGTGCGAATCCTGGCGCAGACGATCATCCCATCTCACAGCAGGTCGCCCCCGGTGATCTTCCAGCTCCAACAATTGTTGACGGCGGGTGCTATTGGGATGCACGAGTCGATAACAATATTTTGAAAATGAGTAGTTTGATTTTCCTCTGGCCACTGTGAGCTCGTGATGTAATGCCCGCACCGCCGAGGGGAGACCCTGATTCTGAAATCCAGCCGCCCTCGATCCGTTTAGCTGATGGGCTCCGCTGAGTCATCGGACCGTGTGTGGTGGGGAGGTCTGGGGCGAAAGCGCCTGGCCCATCCTACAGGCACATCTGGTGGTCGGCGTGCTGCTGCCCCTTTCTCTGGGGCCATCTCCGCGCTGAGCAGGACGCACGGGTGCATCACAGTGTGAGAGCGCACCTTTTGAGAAGCATACAGCCACATATGTACTCTACCCGTGCGGGTGACATTGGTGTCTCCGATATCCTCCGCAGGGTCCTCATTGACCGCTAAGCATGTATGCTCTGATGCCTTGTCAGCCTTTCAAGAGTCGGCCCCGCAGGGGTAGCGTTCGCATGTGATGTTTCTTGGAGTCATGTGGTAATTGCCATCTTCTGCCTGACTGGGTTCAGCGACTCGGCAGTGAAGTTCTCTCAGGGTGCACCATGCGAGTGCTAACTTCTGTTGTGAAACGCGGCGCCATTTGGATCTGACGCCCTTCGGCATCCCAGCGTTCTTGCTTGTGGAAGAGTCACGGAGGGAGAGTCTACCCTCATCTGCCTTCGGCTTCTCCTCCGCGCCCGACCAGGGAGCTGTGTGCGGCCGCCATCGCCCATACCAGCGGCACCGAGAGTGCGTCTGGCTTTGACCTCGGCTTCATGCCATGCGACGAGGCGAGGCCCTCCAGAGTCGTCTTTCCGTGCTTCTTGCTCATTTCACCCTCAAATGTTGCGCTTCACTGCGGTGGGGTGGCCTGGGGGCTGACGCCCCGTACGCCAGAGCATGCGGGGTGTGCGACGCAGCGCACGATTGCGCAGTCGTTCAAACAGGATCGCTTGCTTGGATGCAGCTCCTGGGTGGTTCAATTCAGCATCGGCGCTGGGCAGATCCGTGGTCGAACACCGGCCCAGTTCGGCATAATCCCGCTGAAGTCCGCCTGGTCCCGCTCTATCTGGATCAATCCTTCTTAAGCCTGGCTTTAGTCTGGGCTTATTCTTCTTGTTGGCTGGCCCCTCCATCGGGCTCAGCAGCCCTCGGTTATTCTTACGAGTGGCTCTCAGGAGTTGCCTCCTGACATCTGTCCACGTCGGGGCGCCTCGTGGAGGCGACGTGCGCGCACTCCGCATTACTTCTCCGCAGCGGTGGTGCCCACGGGGGCTGCCGAGTTCCGGGTTCCCGGCCGCACTCTCGCGGCGCCAGGCCGTGCCGATTGTTTGCGCCATCTCCCAGCAGCGCATTTGGCAGTGCTGCTGCGGACACGCCGTGGTGCCTGCCCCAAGCTGCTGGATACACACGTCTCCAGTGCCGGCCCCGTCCAGCGGCTCGTTCGGCCCCCCTCCCACACCTGGAGTGCGCTGAACCCACTCCTCCGGGGATCTCCCCCCCTCCACGTCTTGCGAAGGACAGCTCCTGTGCCTGCACCCCCACGCGATCTCTCTCCGCCCCCTGTTCCCACGCGACCTCCTCTCCCAACCCGATCCATACGCGATCTCTCCTCCCCGTCCCTCCTCCCTCACCCACGCGCTTATGACACCATCTAGAGTAGCTTGTCGGAAACAGACCTCGAGCTTGAGCCTTCCCAGGGACAGTTTTTTCATTTGGAGTCGTTTCCTGACGGTCCTGGGGACGGAAGCGCCCTCCGCAAGAATCAGGCTTGCTCTGTGGCGCTGGGATCTGAGAGTCGAGGGGAGCTCTGGAGGCGGGGGCCGGACGAAAGGGCACAAGGCGTGACGCGACATGTTTCCCAGCGTGGATCCCGAACGCTCAGCCAGTCAGCCCCACCTTGCTGCCCCAGCGGCCGCCTTTGTGAGCTGGCCCGGCCGGCCTGTTCTGCGCCCTGCAGCTAATTAGGTGTGTTCGCAGCCCCGGACAACTTCTGTCGCCGCCTGCGCTCCTCGCTCGCGGCCGCGACCGGAAAAGGATCCCGAACACTACGCTGTGGGCACCGTGGTGGATGTGCGAGCCAGTGTGACGCACGAGTCCCAGACATGCGACGTCCTGATTTTTTCAGGACGGCGTCCCTGGAAGTCCAGACCCTTTCCCCGGGGCCGGTTTTTCGTCCTGACTCGTTTTTTGAAGGTTCCGAGGCCCGGCGAGGGCACCCAGGGGCCGAAAATAGCGAAAAACCTCCCGTCCTGATTTTTCTTACGACGCCATCATGTCTGGAGCGTCTCGGCGCTCGTCTCTCGCAGAGCAGGCCTGCATCCTCGGGACGCTCCGCAGGCGGCCGCGGCCGGCCACGGGCGGCCGCGGGCCGGGCGAGTCCACGGGGTGCCCCCCCCCCCCCCGGCGGGCGGCCACGGGCGGCGGCGGGGCGGCAAGAGGCTGGAGCGTGGCGATGCAGAGGACTCCTGAGCCTTCTGAGAAGGCCCACCCCTTCCCACTTCCCCCCCTCCCCCTCCCCCTCCCTGCTCCCACCTCCTCCTGGTCTTCCTACACACCTGTGATATATATATATATATATATATATATATATATATATATATATATATATATATGTATATATGAATATATGTATATATATATATATATCTACATATATATATGTATATATATATATATGCACATACATACATACACATGTTCTGGCCACGGGCGGCGGCGGGGCGGCCAGAGGTTGGAACGCGGCGACTTCTCGGCATCTTACAGCTCGCGGCCACATTTCAAAACCCTCAAGACGATCACATTTGGAGTACTCTTATGATTTCAGGGACAGCCCTCCTGGAGGGAGGTCCCTGATCATGGATTTAACTCACCAGGGGAGAGAGAGCACGGGAGGACAGAGGAGGAGGAGAGGGAGAGGCGCAGGAGCCGCGCCCGATCCCTGGCACGGGCCCGCCGCTGGGGCCGCTTTCGCCCTGCGAGGCGCCCCGCGGGGCTGGGCGCGCCCTGTGCTCCTCGCTGCGCCCGGCCCCGGCTCCGCCCTGCGCGCGGATGCCGCGGGGGGGGGGTGCGCCGGCGGGCGCGCGCCCGGCTGCGCGGGGCGCCCAGGCCCCCCTGGCGACCCGAACAGGCGGGGAAGAGGACCTGGACAAGAGTGGCAGCGGCTGCTCCAAGGTGCATTCAGATTGTCCAGCGACGTGCGGCGGTTGGCTCCTGCCCGAGAGCCGTCGTCGGAGCGTTTGCTGTCGTTGCAGGCCTGGAACGTTTGCCGATCCCCAGGACTGGCATCACCTCTTATCGATGCCGATCTTCAGGGCTCCTGCGTTTCTGAGAGCACATCGCTGATCATGTTATCGCCTTGGGCTTGCCAATCCTAATTACTGGCAGGGATGAGATCGAGGCCGTGCAGGTCAAGGCGTGGAAGGCCTGCCGTGCGCTCAGCCACGTGTTTGTCTGTGCGCTGTGGATGGAGCGCATCGGGCCGCGGCCGAGCGTTCCCGAGGTGGGCCGGCAGATGCGTAGCGCTCGCCGTTCCGCGCCTCCTGCAGCGGGAGCGGCCCCGGCGGGGCCGCGCCGCCGCCGCCGCCAGCGCTCCCCAGTGGCATTGGGGGAGTAGATGAATCGAGCCTCCAGCCTCGATCCTGGAGCCCCGGCAGTGTCCTGCTCGATCCCGCGCCTCCGCCCTCCGCGCCCGGCGCCTCTCCAGAGGGCCCCCCCCCCCCGCGCGCGGGCACCGCTCCGAGGGCCCCTGGGGGCCCCTGGAGGTGCCCAGAGGCCCCCGGATGCCACCCCCAGAAGGGCCAGACACATCCAACGGCGCGGCGACCGCACCCCGGTCGCACGGTCTCGGGATTCTGGTCGCTCTCCGAGGGTGTCTCGGGCGGCTGGGGCCTCCATGGGTCCCCCAGATTCCGTGCAGTGACGCACCGTGCGGCGAGGCCCTTCGGGATTTTGAGGCCACCGCACGGACAGTCTGTCACCGCACGGTTTTCAGGACCAGAGCACCGATCTTCGAGCCTGACGGCTGTTTTCGGTACCTTCTCCGAGGGCCTCCGAAGGCCTCCAGAGGTCCTCTGGAGGCCCCCCAGAAGGGCCAGACACGTGCAACAGCATCGATCATCAATCGATCTATCGGTCGATCCTCGCCGTCGATCGAGCGACCTGGCAGGTCGATCGATCCTCGATCGACCCGGCAGCTGTTCCTGGCACCTCCGAGCCCGCCGCTGCTCCCGCCGCGCGCCGTGGTCGCCCCGAGCCCGGCGCCCTCGAGGAGGCGCCCAGACCTCCGACGATGTGATCTGTCCCGAGCCGTCCTGAAGGCTGTGGTGCGGGGCCTTCGTCTGGAAGAGGGAGCGCCCCGCGTTCCTCTCCTCTCCTCTCCTCTCCTCTCCTCTCCTCTCCTCTCCTCTCCTCTCCTCTCCTCTCCTCTCCTCTCCTCTCCTCTCCTCTCCTCTCCTCTCCTCTCCTCTCCTCCCATCCGTGCCTCTGCCCTCCGCATGTCCACCATTTCGGGACACCCCTCCGACGCTTCGTGGCTCCACAGAGGGCTCCACCGAAGGCTCCAGCGGGAGGGTTCGCATGGCACCACCGCGCCCAATTCGGCACACCCCTTCCACGCTTCGTGGCCCCCGTAGGGAGCTCCACCGAAGGCTCCAGTGGGAGGATTCGCATGGCACCACCGCGCCCTCACTTCGGCACACCACTCACACGGTTCGTGGCCTCATCAGGAGCTCCACCGAAAGCGGTACTCCAGATGTCGTAATAAAGGGAGGGGGGTCTCTTTTCGGGGGGGGGGTCTCTTCCAGGCTATCTTGGAGGGCCTGGAGGGGTCTGGGGACGATGTTTTGGAGGGTTCTCCCACGGGGGAGGTCTGGACCCCCTCCCTTTTATAACGAAATCTGGAGTACCCACAGTGCGGTACTCGCAGCTGCATATGGTCGGGCCCCTCGTCAGGCTACTTGCTCTGCTCCTCGAAGGCCGGGCGTCTTCCCTCGGCCTCGGCCTCCCGGCCCCCCCCTCGTCGGGCTCCCGGGCCATCCGGAGTGTGGCCGCGGCGACGAGCTGCGCTCGGCGAAGGGGTCCCGGACCCCGGCCGCGCACGGAACGACGATCGCGCCGTCGGACGCCTGGGTAAAACGACGCGAAGATCGGGACAAAATCGGATCGGGACAACTCGAAATCTCTGAGAATCGGCGGGTTTGGAGGATGTATTGGGCGCCGCAGCCGCTCCAGAGCGTTCTGGAACGCTCTGAGAGCGCTCCGGAACGCTCTGGAGCGATTTATCCCGATCCTAGCCCTGTTTTACTGGGAGGCCCTCGCGCGCGAGAGCACCCACCGCTCCGACGCACGCCGCGGCGCGGAGGCGGACAGCCAGCAGCTCTTCCAGTTCGTCGCCAAGCTGGGCGGCTTCGAGGTTCGCGCGCGCGCCAGCTTGCGCCCGAGGAGGACGGGGGGGAGGAAGATGGATCGGAGGAGAATGGTAGGAGAGATGGGGAAAGGGAGGGGGGAAATGGAGGGAGGGCGATGAGAAGGCAGATGAGGCGGAGGAGTCCAGACGACCAGGAGCACTGCAAGAGGGAGAGGAGAAAAAGGCGGAGGAGAAGGATGAAGAGGAGAAGGAGGATGAGGAGGAGGAGGAGGAAGCGGAGGGACGGAACACCATCTCGAGCTCCAGAGTTCGAGCAGTGCCTGGCTCGGCCAGCAAGTAACCGGGCGTCAAGAACGGCCGACGCGGATGCCAAAGTTCTTTGCACACCTTTCCAGCATGCCTGCCCGCAAGTGACAGCTGTGACAGTAGCAGTGCATCGTGTTCTCTGGCTGGCTACCAGAGAGCCGCACACAGGAATCGGCTGTGACAACTGCTGATTGCGAGCGAGTCCTGTGGTAAATCGCGTCTTGCTTGGATGTGCTGGAATGTCGCTACAAACCCGCAGGAAACATGAGAATTCTGACGACGCTCTCTTGCGATTGCACGATCGGGCACGCGTGTCAAGAAGAGTTCAGTCGACACGCTGGATATACAGTGCAGCTTGAAGCCGCGCCGCGTGTCATCACCAAACTGGTGCCACAGCCAACACTCAAGCGTGAAGGAGGAAAACCAACCAGACCCCGTCAATGGCGTTTACTAAACTACCTTGGGCATTTACTAAGCAGACCTGCCCACTTCGATTTCTTCCTTCGGTGCATTTGCTAAACGGCTTCGCTTGTCAGGGTGCTCATTCTGGGGGTGTTTTTGTTTAAATGCCCTCTACAAGTAACTTGCATGTGCTGCTTTGTCTGGTGAGCTCATCTTGCTGAGCACAAGGCTGCTTCAGCAGGAGTTGCCACGCCAACGCCCAGGCGCTGGCACGCAAAGACAGACGAGACGCCCATAGCGGCACACACTTTGAGCGACGCTTGCGCAACCAACGCTGTGCTCCAGAGTCAGTGTGCATCGGCCAGGGCTCCCAAAGCCACTGGCACGGGAAGGGACGCAACCGCGCGTTGCCTGGCTCAGCTGCTCCTGCTGCGATCTGCAAAGGTGGCAGTGTCACCCGAAGACCGATGCCATCGTTCTCTCCGTCCCAGCAGAATTTCGTCGGGCGAAGGGGGTGCAGAGGCTGGCCGTAGCGACGCCAGCTGGAAGGGTGGGGTGCCCGGAGTGTGAACGCGGAGCGGGGACCGGGAGAACGGACCCGCCGAGCCTTGGAGGGCCCCTGGAGCTCTCCCGAGGGCAGCAGAGAAGGGGGATATGATCCTCCTCCTCCTCCCCCTCCTCCTCCTCCTCCTCCTCCTCCCCCTCCTCCTCCTCCTCCTCCTCCTCCTGCCCCTCCTCCTCCTGCCCCTCCTCCTCAGATTCAGCTTCAGCCCAACCTGTATGGCACATCTAGCATTACTCTGCAGGCGGGGCATTCGGCACTGCTGGCTTGTGTCAAGCCTTCCCAGTGTGAATCGTCCATCGGCTCACGGCTTGACTCGTCCCCCAAGGGTGCGTGGACGTCTCCTCCTCCTCCTCCTCCTCCTCCCCTCCTCCTCCTCCTCCTCCTCCTCCGCCTCCTCCTGGCCCCCCTTTCTGGAGCCCAGCCCGCCCCCCGCCCGCCCCCCTTGGAAACGGGCCCCCCCTTCGCTGTCCTCCTCCTCCTCCTCCTCCTCCTCCTCCTCCTCCTCCTCAGCGCAGCTGGTCGCACCTGAGGCTGCGCTGCCCTCGCGGTGGTAACCGTACGCCTCCGTGCGAAGCGGCCTGCGGTGCCCACGCGACGCAGCGAGGCCTCGGCCGCTCTCCGGCTCCCGCCTGCTGCCGCCGCCGCCGCCGCTGCTGCTGCTGCTGCTGCTGCTTCGGCGGCCTCCTCCTGCTCCTCCTGCCCCTCTCAGGAGGGGGAAAAACACACAGACACAATGAATCGTCGATTCCCCAGAGAATAGGGGAAAATATGGGATCTGGGGGGGGAGGACAAGAACCCAGAGAAGATGGGAACATATGGGGAGTCCTTTTGTTTGTGTGTATTGATTTGTGTGTCCCAGGGCTCCTCCTGCTCTTCCTCCTGTGCTGAGTGAAGGAAAAGCTGCCGCTCGTGTCCGCACCCAGCGCATCCTTCCCCGCTCCTTTCATCCCCCGCTTTTCTCCGGCTCGCTCGCTCCGACCCTCCCCTCCCGCCTCTCGAAATCTTCATGGGTCACCCCCGCCGAGCATCGCGTTGTCCACATGCCCTTTGATTGGCCCTGCCCCACAGAGACGCTGGCCCGTTTATCACATGCAGTGCAGAGTGCTGTAGTGAAAACAAGTCTGGGCGCGTGGGCCACATCTTACAGGTTGCCAGTGGCCGCTCAGCCCTGCCTTTTCGGGTGTCCAGGGCAGCGAGACGACCAGGCACATGACTGTCACTGTGTCCCGCTCTGGAAGGTGGTGACCCCCACCTGGTCCCGATCTGGTCCTGGCCGGATCTCTGTCAGTGCGTCGAGGGTACGTGCCTGCAAATCTGTGCGATGGCACCATCACTCGTTTGGTGCTCCTTTTCCACACGTGCAATTACAGACGCGACCTTCACAATCGTGGTCGCGGAGGAATCGGAGATGGAGCGACGGATCGTGCAGTCCTGAGGTCCTCTTGCACCCAGCCTTCCCTCGCAGCGGCAAAGGTCAGGTTCATTCAGCTCGGCCGCCACGCCCCCGCGCAACTCATCATCCGCCCCCGGACGGGCTCTCGGCGCCGCGTGGCCTCTTGTTTCTCGTGTGTAACGTTGGGTCCACCTCCTTCTCCGTCTGGCCCGCGCCTCCCTTGCTGACCTCTGGGCCTCCTTCCCGCTCCTCGCTGCCGTTGCTGTTGGCTCGGCCTCCCTGCTGCCAGCGTCCCTCCTCCTCCTCCTCCTCCTCCTCCTCCGTTCCTTATCCTTATAAATAACTTCTCCCTGTCGCATCCCGAGGCTGGTTTTTAGGGCGGGCCGGGCGTTTCGCCTGAGATTTCCTCACCATTTATGACCTGAAGCTTAAACACTGGCCACAGCTTCACAGATGGAGGGCGGCTCGTATTCAAAATGTGGCTGTCGCTCTAGCGCCGCGAACATTCGTTTGATTTTTTGAAGTTGCATGGGTTTCACGTATTGAAGACGGGTCGTTTTCAAAATGTGGCTCTCGCCTTAGCGCCGTGCGCATTCGTTTAAACAGATGGCAAGAGTTTCACGGATTCAGGGCGAGTGGTTTCCAACATGTGGTTCTCGCCTTAGCGCCGCGCACATTCTTTTGTACAAACGTTTAGGAGCTTCACGGATTGAGGGCGGGTGTTCTCAGAATGTGGCTCTCGCCTTAGCGCCGCGCACATTCGTTCTGAACACTTGCAAGAGTTTCACGGATTAAGGGTGGTTCCTTTTCAACATGTAATTCTCGCTTTAGCGCCGCGCACATTCGTTTTAAAACATTTGGAAGGGTTTCGCAGATTCACATGATCAGCGTACCAGAAATTGTGTTTTGGAAGGATTCAGGGCTATGCGGGTGCAACGCTTATGTTGATTCGCGGTTTTGGAGTCCCCAAACATGCGTTCTGGCACGGATCGTCAAGTCGCAGCAGTCAGGTTGATCCGTGGCGTTGAAATCCGAAGAACAAGGTTTTGGCATGCTTCAGGGTCTTCAAACGGTTGTCTTCCAACGAGGCAGTTCCCTCAGTGGAAATGAGCCGTTGTAGGGGCCTGTGAAGAGGGAGCTTGGAGGGAGGGTTAATTCCAACATCGTTGATGACTCTTGGGTTTACACTGGTCCTCCTCCTCCTCCTGCCAGCACCTCGCGTTCATAGCCGATTGCACGAAGATGTGCGCATAGCGCGACATCGGCAGGCACAATACAGCGTTATACACCAGTGTGCACTGGGCCAGTGGCCTCGAAGTCAAGCAGCGAACGACCCCCTACTGCTTCTCATGCCCCTCCCCGCCTCCCCCCTCGGCCAGGTGCGGGTGGGGGCCAAGAACTGTCTGGACTCCGCAAGCGGCTCCAGCATCCTGGTCCGCACGCCGCCGCCGCCGACTCCAGCCGCTGCCGCCCGCCGCCGCCGTCGCCTCCTCTCTCCCCCTCCTATTCCACCTCACCGCCCCCCTCCTCATCTCCCTCCTCCCCTCCCCCCTTTGGCGCTGATTCAACCGAGTGCGCTTCCAGTGCGTTTCGTCATTGCGCGTGCTGAATAGAAGTTCGAGGTTTGCTTCCCCTTCCCGTGCCACCCTCGGGCTGGCTTCTCCTTCCTGCCTCGTTTTCTACTTGATTCGTTATTATACCTCGTAGTCGTGGGGCGCTTCCTTCTGCTTCGCGATCGCGGGACGCTTTGCTCTTCTGCTTCACAGTCGTGCTGCGTCCGGTTTTCAGCGCCCGCCGCCGCGCGGATGCTACCCTCAAATTGATTCCTGGTTGCTGCTGTTAGGGTGTGCCGGCCCATTCGATATCGCATGCTTCTGAGAAGCTTGCGGGGAATTTCTGCCTGGCGCCCCCTCTTCGCAAGGGGTTCAACGGATTCCTGTCCACTGTTCATGACGACCTGTTTGCGCAGTGCTTCTGAGGACATGTTTCCCCAGCGCGAGTCCGACTCCAGGGCCATTGCAGATTTTCGAGGCCGCGCCCGTGAACCCCGTTCTGAGTGCCACGTGTTCCCCCCTCCCTCCCTTTCTCTGCCCTGCTTACCCTGTCTCGGCAAGACGAAGTTCAATCCAATTTTTGTTACAAGTCCGTGCGATACCGACAGTTGTCGCTCGAGGGTGTCATTTTCGCATCAAGTCCCTCGTCGTCCTCTTCCTCCTCCTCCTCCTCCTCCCCCCCCCTCCATTCCTCTCCTCCTTCCCCCGCGTAGGGTTGACATGCAAAACGCAAGGGCCGTTGACCGAATGCTTGCCCCGAGGGCTGCTCACTAAATGTTTGCCCTTGCGCGTGCACCATATGCTTTCATCGCGTGGCAGGGTGGGCGGGCTGGGGGTTCCATCGCGCTGTCCGATCCCATATTCCCCCACCAAAAAACAGCCATGCGCGAGTGCCCCTACGCGCATGTTGCCGGGAAGTTGCGCTGACTGCTGCCCCGTTGTCGTTGTCGTCGTCGTCGTCGTCGTCGTCGTCGTCGTCGTCGTCGTCGTCGTCGTCGTCGTCGTCGTCCGCCCCCGTCGGCCAAAACCCGATTGAAATGGGACCCTGGAACCCTCCCGGGGCCCGAGCGCACCAGTTTTCCGCGCCGCGTCCGGCCGTGGCGACGAGGAGAGCCACCAGGGGCCAGAGGATCTCGGTCTTCGAGGCTTGAGGCTCGAACCTGGACGTGAACGCCGACCCGACCCAGTCGGTTATCGGGCCATAATTCGGTCTCGGGGACTCTGGTGGCCGTTCGGCATGACTCCGGCACCCCCGGGGCGCAGCGTCGTTCCGGATTGATTTCTGACGGTCCTGGGCCCCGAAAGTGGCCTCCACAGGCTACGACGCCGGAAACCCGCCTCGGACTTCGAACCTCAGGGGTCGACGAAAATAGCTGGCGTCATCGGAGACGCGGCCATCTCGTCCACCACAGCGGCGGCAGCCCAACTCCACGGGTTTCAGGCGGCGGGCGCGAGCGCGGCTCTCCCGAGCTCAGCCCACGCGCCGCTTCCGCGCAGGCGTCTTCGTAGGATTTGAAGCGTCGTCGGCGCTGGGAACGGAAGGGGAGGTTCGAACCTCGAGGATCCAGGTTTGATGAGTTTTTTGTCGTTTTACGCCTCTGGACGCCGCTTTCGGGCCCCGGGATCGTCGAAAATCGATCCAGGGTGAAAAACTGCTTCGGAGGGGGCCCTGGGAAGGGCCCGGGGGACGATTTTCATTTGATTTCGGTCATCCTGGGGGGAGGAGGGGGAGGACGACGACGAGGACGAGGAGGACGAGGAAGACGAGGAGGGCGAGGGTTGGAAATGACGGGGCGCCCCCGTAAGTTGACCCGGTTCGTTCGAATGTGTTTCGCAGATATTATTGGGAATCTCGTTCAAATTAAACTCCAACCCCCCATCCCTCCAGGCTCCGCCGGAGGCGCCCGGAGAAGAATATGTTCAAATTGCGGCCGTGCCCCCAAATTTGAAGCATGCCCCTCTGCGTCGCCCGGGACCCCCCAGGAATCCCAGGGGCCCAGACGGATTCTGTTGGTTTGTGGAGGATCTTTCGAACCCTCCATCCTGGAGGATTCCTTCATGGGCGCTCTCTTGGGGCCGCTTCCAATCAGCGGATGGCACCTCCAACGACGCGCATACGCGCGCGCGCGTGGCGCGTGCTCACTACTGATGAAGGGCCCCCCCCCGACGGGATCTCCAAAGTGCGGCGGCAACGGGCCCGTCGTGGACAAATGCGCAAAAACGATTTGTCGTCGCACGGGCCATTTTTTAATCGGTCAAATGAGCTGTGCGATGTGCGATATGCTCGCCGTGGACAGCTCAGTTCAAGCACGCGTGGCACGCAATATTTTTGGTGCGACGGCGACGGGGGGGGGGGGCACACACATGCGCAGCACAAATCACGCAGGTTGGCTAACGGTGCGACAGCGACCGGCGGGGCCGCGACAGATGGACCTTCCACTTGTTTCCGAAACTCTCCGCGCGGTGCGACGGCGACGGGGGGGGGGGCAGACAGATGCCCTGTACATAGAATGTTTGAATTCAGTTTGTGGAATTACATGTCGACTGTTCTAGTGTGGACAATGCAAAAACTCTGTCGCGCGCGCTTCTGACTTTTGCATTGCCCACGCTAGACAAGTGGACGCGTCCGTCGGCCTCGTTAAAAAGCCACAGGCATTTTGAATTCAGTTTTTGGAAATCATTGTGGACAATACAGAACTCTGTCGCGCGCGCGCGTCTGAGTTCTGTATTGTCCACACTAGAAAAATCGTCGCGTCCGTCGGCCTCCTTAGAGAGCCACAGAAATTTTGAATTCATTTTTTTCGGAATTACATGTCGATTATGCTTATGTGGACAATGCAGAACTCTGTCGCGCGCGCGCGCGTCTGAGTTCTGTATTGTCCACAATAGAAGAGTCGACGCGTCCGTCGGCCTCTTTAAAGAGCCACAGAAATTTTGAATTCAGTTTTTGGGATCACATGCCGATTTTGCGATTGTGGACAATACAGAACTCTGTCGCGCGCGCGCGCGTCTGAGTTCTGTATTGTCCACGCTAGAAAAGTCGACGCGTCCGCCGGCCTCCTTGAAGAGCCACAGAAATTTTGAATTCTGTTTTTGGCTTTACATGTCACCTAGTCTATTGTGGACAGTACAGAACTCTCGCGCGCGCGTCTGAGTTCTGCATTGTCCACACTAGAGGAAAGTCTACGCGTCCGTCCGCCCCCTTAGAGAACCACAGAAATTTTGAATTCAGCGTTTGGAAATACATGTCGACTATGCTAATGTGGACGATTCAGAAGTCTGTCGCGCGCGCGCGCGTCTGAGTTCTGTACTGTCCAGAATAGAAAAGTCGACGCGTCCGTCGGCCTCCTGGAAGAGCCACAGAAAGCTTGAATTCAGTTTTTGGAATTACATGTCGACCATGCTAATGGGGACAATACAAGAACTCTGTCGCGCGCGCGCGCGTCGGAGTTCTGCATTGCCCACACTAGAAAAGTCGATGCGTCCGCCGGCCTCCTCAAAGAGCCACATAAATTTTGAATTCTGTTTTTGGAGATACATGTCACCTGGTCTATTGTGAACAATGCAGAACTCTGTCGCGCGCGCGCGCGTCTGAGTTCTGTATTGTCCGCAACAGAAAAGTCGACGCGTCCGTCGGCCTCCTTAAAGAGCCACATAAATTTTGAATTCTGTTTTTGGAATTACATGTCGACTGTGCTATTGTGGAGAATTCAGAACTCTGTCGCGCGCGCGCGCGTCTGAGTTATACACACTAGAAAAGTCGACGCGCCCGCCGGCCTCCTCAAAGAGCCACCGAATTTTTGAATTTAGTTTTTGGAATTACATGCAGACTTTTATATTCTGGACAACAAAGGACTCTGTCGCGCGCGCGCGCGTCTGAGTTCTGTATTGTCCACGCTCGTAATGCGGACGCGTTCGTCGGCCTCCTTAAAGAGCCACAGAAATTTTGAACTCAGTTTTTGGAGATTCATGTCACCTATCTTATTGTGGACAATACAGAGCTCTGTCTCGCGCGCGCGTCTGAGTTCTGTATTGCCCACAATAGAAAAGTCGACGCGTCCGTCGGCCTCCTCATAGAGCCACGGGAATTTGGAATTCTTTTTTGAAAGCACATGTCAACTGTGCGAATGTGGACTATACAGAACTCTGTCGCGCGCGTCTGAGTTCTGTATTGTCCACACTAGAAAAGTCGACGCGACCGCCGGCCTCCTCAAAGAGCCACAGAATTTTTGAATTCAGTTTTTGGAATCACATGTCGGCTTTTATACTGTGGACAATACAGAACTCTGTCGCGCGAGCGTCTGGATTCTGTAGCGTCCTCACTAGAAATGTGGGCGCGTCCGTCGGCCTCCTTAAAGAGCCACAACACATTTTGAATTCAGGCTTTGGAATCACATGTCGACTTTGCTATTGAGGACAATACAGAAATCTGTCGCGCGCGCGCGCGCGTCTGAGTTCTGCATTGCCCACGCTAGAACAGTCGACGCGTCCGTCGGCCTCTTCAAAGAACCACCGGAATTTGGAATTCTTTTTTTGAAAGCACATGTCGACTTTTCTATGGTGGACAATACAGAACTCTGTCGCGCGCGCGCGTCTGAGTCCTGTATTGTCGACACTAGAAAGAGGTGGACGCGTCCGTCGGCCTCTTCAAAGAGCCGCCGAACTTCTGAATTCAGTTTTTGAAATCGCGTCGACTTTCCTAATGTGGACTATACAGAACTCTGCCGCGCGCGCGTCTGAGTTCTGTATGGTCCACACTAGATAAGTCGACGCGTCCGTCGGCCTCCTTAAAGAGCCACAGAAATTTCGAATTCAGTTTGGGAATTACATGTCGACTATGCTAATGTGGACAATACAGAACTCTGTCGCGCGCGCGCGCG